TTTTCAAAAACTCATTCCTAGACGTTCCTCATTCCCAATGCTGTAACTGAAACACCCGTTTGATGAAGTGGCTCTGAAAGCAAAGGAACTAATACAATTATGCGATTATGCTGCTCTTTATTATAAGGATATTTTGACATCCCGCACCCAAGGCGCAAATGTCAAATCCAGTCTCCATCATGAGTCTAATGATTGGCTCAACACTCACGCTCGCCTCTCTACGGTTGGCAGACTCGACCTGGATCGGCCTGTTACAATTGCTGAAGCGTTTGAAGCCTTGAAGGCTAGGTCAGCCGGGAAAACTCCCGGAGACGATGACCTCCCTGCAAAGGTCTACATCTCCCTATGGGAGGTTATTGGGGAACCCTAAGTAAAGATTCACAATGCTGTTCTTATAGGAGGGCGCCTATCGGATAGTATGAGTAGGGGTATCATCTCTGTTCTTTTTAAGAAAGGGGATCGCTCTGAAATTCGGAACTGGCGACCGATCTCGGTTCTAAATGTGTCTTATAAGATTCTTGCCAAAGTGCTTGCGAGACGCCTAGGGAGATACATGCCATCTTTGGTCCAGTCAGATCAAGCAACCTTTATTAAATAAAGGCCGCTCAATTTTCGACAACATCGTTACTGCAATTGAAACGTTGAAAATTGTTCAAAATAAGAATCTGAATATTGCAGTACTTCTGTTGGACCTGGAAAAAACATATGACCGAGTAAATTGGTCATATGTGTTGACAACTTTGCGTTGGATGGATTTTGGTCCTAATCTGTGCTCCAGGGTCGTTGGTCTATACACCTTTTCTACTCCGGCGGTACTTGTGAGCGACAGACTATCCATAGAGTTCTCCCTCACTAGATCTCTTCGACAAGGTTGCCCCCTCGCTCCGTTGCTGTTTGCAATCCAGATGGAGGATGTTCTGAATAATATCAGAGCACATGCCCAAATTATCGGCTTGTCTGCAGGACCTTCACCCTATAAGGTGAAGGCTCTGGCTGATGACCTGTTTGCGGTTGTTCAGAATTCCCCACCATCAATGTCTGCGCTTAAAGCATGTCTGGATGAATATTCGGATCTATCCGAGGCTGCCATCAATTGGCATAAATCTGCTTACTTCTTGCCAGTTGACTTCTCCCTGTGTGTGCAATGGGGCATGAAACGTATTAATAGTGACGAATCGAAACGCTTTTTGGGGGTCCAGATCAGCCTCAACGACTACTCCGATGTACAGGCAAGTCTCTTGTCAAAGAAGGTCACCCATAGACTTACACAGTGGGGAAAGGCCCTGCACTTGTCAATTTATGGCCGTGCCTTGGTGGTTAACGGGGCTTTGTTTGCCCTCCTTTGGTTCGTAGGTAGAGTAAGGGGCCTCGGTCCTCAACTCTATCCCCTGGCTCGAAGAAAAGCTGCGAAATTCATCTGGAAACCTTTCGCAGATGAGGAGGAATTATTCATCCCTAAGGTTGCTTGGGAAATGTTATGTGTTCCACATAGTGAGGGTGGCATGGGAATGCTAGACCCACTTCGACTGAACATGGCAATGCTATGTATGTGGCTTATAAAAGTCAGCTTGAACCCCTCTCCTGAGCACTGGATATATCTGGCCGAGCACATCCTAGGGAAGGAATGGAAGCTCAGCCGCCCGGAAGACGTATGGACCTGCCTGCTCCTATATTCTTACCAGCGTCGTCGCGTGAAATCTGCCTTTTGGTCTACTGTCATTTTTGCATGGGGGAAAGTTCGTCCTGTTGTCTGGGTGGAACCTTCGACAAAAGCAAAAGTCCTTTCTCAGCCTATTTTTGAGAATCCAAAGATAAGGGATCACTCAGGTAATTGGCTCAAGGCGGATTCTTCCCCCGCCAACTTTGGGCGCTCTTGGATCGAGAGGGGTATTTTACGAATTAGAGATTTGTGGGATGATCTCTGGGGAAACTGGATTCTGAACTCTGATTTGAAACTCAAACTCGGTCGATTAAGGTCTGTAACTGAGCGAAAGCAAGTGATTACCAATGTCATTCCAGAGTGCTGGAAAACAATCATTGCACTGAGTGGCATCGACCTTCCAGGGACATGGTTCTCCAATGTCCCTGCTGAACCACAACATGTTTGGAAGTTGATATCAATCAACCCTGACGGAGATAGAGAATTCCAGAGCTGGAAAGTGCCGATTTCCGGGATCCTGGAACTAGAAGATGAATGCTCTCCTCCCCCAGTTGGTGGGTCACTACAATAGATCCGTGCTTATGAATATCAAAGACCAGAAGCCCCTCCCGCTTGTCAACTGTTTCGTGGTGGTCGCCCAATTATACAGTTGAAGTTGGATCCAGCTATGTGGGAATGGAATATAAAAGGCCCTCGTAGTTCGAATACCACTTTAGCGGAATACTCTCTGAAAGTGGGGTATGTTGTGAACCAGCCCCTGAAACCCCCCAGGGTAATAGCCCGGGCCCGGTGGGCTCAGCTACTACCCTTGGATGGTTCGGTGATCGATAATGCTCTCACTTCATGTTAGGAACAACCGAGCTTGATTGCTAATAAAAAACACGCTTCCCTGCTATGGCTGGTTTCCTTGGTTGCCACACCATCGGCAGTTTGGCTTGTAGAACGTGGTCTGAAGCTTGACTTAACGTGTAAAAGATGCCAATGGGCCTTTGAGTCGACTGTTCATTTGTGGTGGGACTGTCCAGACTCCAGTCGGATTTGGCAATGGTGCATTAATCACTGGAATCGTTTTTCGGGCTCAGTCTTTATATGGGATAAGACTTGGGCCCTGTTAGGGGGTATTCCTGTAGGCATGTCGAGAACGAAAGGGTGGGGCTATGTCGCCCAGACAACACGTGCTGTAGCCTTTGCAGTAATTTGGCAGTGTCGAAATGCTCGAGTTTTTTAGAACAAGGAATGGACAAACCGTCAGATTCGTAATACGTTTATAGGTCTGATGAGGCAGGCAATTATGGCAGACTGACGCCGTAAAGTGCATCCGCAGCAGATCTTCCAGAATGGCCTTCGATGGTTTCTGGACACATGGGCTCTTCTTGGCACGTTGGTTTGGGTCGAGGGTGTGCAACTTGTTTTTGATTCTTGGTTGCTTCAGGCATGAGGCAGTCCAGTTTGGTAGTTGAGTGATTACTCATCTAGGATAATGCTAGCTTAGGATCCTACCTTTGGCTTTTTGGCTTGTTTGGTTATAGTCATTCTGGGTTGTTGCTTAGTTTTGTTACTCAGGGTGCAACCTGCAGCGCTCGGTTGTCGGGTCCTATGTAGGGTTGCCACAGTAGGCAGGCAATGGTCATGTTGAGGAGGGAGCAGCTGTTTTAATTGTTCGGAATCCTAAGCTGGGATTCGATTTTTCCCCGTTTTAAGGGTTACTACCAATTTAGGTAGTATCAGGTAATAGATAGAGGGTAGTGAGGGTCTTGGGTAACCTTTAGGATTAATCTAGGATATAGAGGTATCCATTTTGGTTTGTGTGGCTTTTGAGGCTTGGGTGGCACTTTTATTTACCAGGACTGGGGGTTATCAGTGCAGCGGTCTTTGATGTGGCCACTTCTGCCTGAATTTTATACTTCCCCGGTGCATGCACCTACAGCTGGGTAATGGTCCGAGCATGTTTGTTTCCGGGTTGTTTTGTGGAGGAATTCCCGGCCTCCGGTGGTTTATAATGAAATGCAAAGTTGGTGTTTTTTTAAAATAAAAAATAAAAAAAAATGGCGTCACACCGTTGAGTTTTTTGAACTCAACAACCGTAGGTGGGACCCCACTGGCCGGCGGCGTGGAAAAGTTTTGGCGAGGAAGTGTTTTTCAGATTTTTCAGACCCCAGAGGTGTTGGAAACCGTCGTGGAAAGTTGACCCGGAAAGGAATTTCAGACCCCACTGCGGTTCGAAAGAGGTTGTGGAAAAGCTGACGGGGCGTTTCTACTCGGCTTGCGGTCTGGAAATGCAATGCCGATGAGTTTCCAGACTGTTTCCAAGGACGCCTCCAGACAAGTAGGGGGGGGGGGCATGTCAAAGGCTTGGACCCCATTGGCCGGCGGGTGGAAACTGGTGTTGGCCATAAAAAAACGGAAGACCGTGGTTGGAAACAATCTTCCCCATTTCGTTCGGACCCCATAGTTTCGGCAGTGGAAAAGGCAGGGCATACCCGAATAGGAAATCGCCCTGGGGTGTTTCCGAAAAAGGCAAGTCCGGCGGGGGCTGTGGTCCGTGGCCTTCTTGCGCAACCAATTAAGTGTCGACAAAGCGCCACGACGTCCAGCCCGATTCTGGAAGCTGTTTGACATGCCCCCCCCCCTACTCGTCTGGAGGCGTCCTTGGAAACGATCTGGAAACTCGTCGGCATTGCATTTCCAGACCGCGAGCTAAGTAGAAACGCCCCGTCGGCTTTTCCACGACCTCTTTCGAACCGCAGTGGGGTTTGAAATTCCTTTCCGGGCCAACTTGCCACGACGGTTTCCAACACCTCTGGGGTCTGAAAAATTTGAAAAACACTTCCTCACCAAAACTTTTCCACGCCGCCGCCCAGTGGGATCCAAGCCAAACAGTTTCCAAAATCGGGCTGGACGTCGCGGCGTTTTGTCGACACTTCGTTGGCTGCGCAAGCAGGCCATGGACCACAGCCCCCACAGGACTTGCCTTTTTCAGAAACACCCCAGGGCGATTTCCCATTCGGGTATGCCCTGCCTTTTCCACTGTCGAAACTATCGGGCTGCAGTGGGCTCCAAACGAAATGGGGAAGATTGTTTCCAACCACCCGCCGGCCAAAGGGGTCAAAGCCTTAGGGTTAAAGGTATGTCTTCATCATTCCTGACATGGTGAGTGCCAGCCGTGGACACATGTGAAATGATTGTATTTCCCTTCATACTCGTATGCATGTGTTTGCCCTTCTTGGGTTTTGACAGTATTGAACAAGTGACCAACCCTTTCAACACGAACTTTGACGCCCACTCCGTCTGTTGGACATCTCTCGGTGGACCGGTTAATGGGAAAAAAGGTAAAGCCAACGTTTCATCAGGTTGTTTGTTAGTGAGTACCATAATGCCATGCGGAGAGTGTGTACAGATCAGGGGAATGGCAAATCCGCCTTCACCCCTTTCTTCTTCTCAGCTTTGGTCAGAGTTCTCATGGGCGGGGCCTGCGAGAGGGAGGGGGTTGACTTACGCCTGCCACCTGTTTTTACTGCATCCAAGGCACCCTGTTGACTTGAAGCGGGGCCTGACCCTATGGGCGGAATGCCCACTTTGGGTTTCGGCTGTAGCTTCTTTGATTTCTTAGTTGGGAACCCTGCCACCTCTTGAGGATCGACCGCTGGGGCCGGGCTCTGGATCTGTGGCTTGAGAGGATCTTTGTCACGGGGAGCCGTAGACTCGTCTACATTCAGCTCCTCCACTTCGAAAAATTCATCCGAACTGTAGGAGTGGACTTCTAAGGGTGCAAGTTTGAGCGCTGTGTTGGGAGTTTCCCAGTCGTAGTACTCATTATCATACGTTTTCACTAGGGTACTAGGCAGTCCATTTAAGTCCTCAAACAGTGGCACTAGCCCTCCATCCATGTCATCTTCAGACCCCTCATCCGACGACCTTGAGTACGACTTCCCCCGAACCATTTGGACTTTACATGCCTTGTAAACAACCAACGCTTTGTTGGGGGAGGGCTCCTCCGAACTCGAAAGAATCTCCTCCTCATGCCGAGCAGCGTCATCCTCACGTTTTCTTTTCTCTCCGATCAGGGCAATATCCTCGTCCATTTTATCCCCCCCCACGAGATCTTTGTCTCCCTCTAACTTGCCCTGATCTTTCTCTAAGCTGAGTTCAATCTTTTTCTCTGTTATTGCCCTTTCTTTCTGGTGTGCCTCTCCGACGCCCTTCCCCAATGTCCCTCCACCATCTTCGTCCCCGAACCCCTTTCCTTTCTTTCCTTCCTCTTGGGGCCTATCCGATCCCGCTAACCCTGTCCCTTTCCGGGGGGTTCCCTTTCCCTTGCCTCTCGCGTCCTCCTCTCTCTCCCCTTTCTTTGGGGACGGAGTCCCTTTCTTTTCGCCCCCTCCCGCCACCTTGTCCCCACCAGCCTTACCACCTCCTTTCCCACCACCAGTCCCCTCCCCGCCCTTCTCCTTTCCCTTTACCTGCGTGGGAGACTTTTGGTTTAACGCAGCCGCCTCGTACGACTTTTTGCTTTTCGATCAGCTGTCCTGGTCCCCTTCCTCATGAAAGTACTACACGCCGGGCACCAAGGAGTAACTTCCAATTCCACGTATCCCATGCTGCCAGAATCTACGACTAGATACCTCTTATAACGGAGCCTAGCGGCAGATTCCAGGTCGAAACGAACATTCAACAAATCTTGTTCAATTGGGTCCTTATAAGCCGATAATTCTTTTATGATGGGACCAAAAGCATCTTTAACGACCTTGGAGAGGTGAGGGAGAACACCCATCGATACCTGGAGACATCTAATCCAGAAAAATCGATGTGTGGCCAGCTCGCTCTACTCCCAAAATTCGTTTCCGTCATCTAGGGCTCAAAAGTCAGAGTGTATTTCTTCCCATCTAACTCCACAGATGATTGGCAGACTCTCAACATCCACGTGGCGATTTCCTTGGCCGTCGCCACGTAAGTAACAAAGTTTTTTCCCTCATTGTGAAACAGCCCCCTTTTCGGTGGAGCAGCAATCTCTCCCTGGTCAGCCCACCCGTTCTCGTAAATGCGGACTAAATGTTTTTACACATTTACGGGGAGTGACGTGGAGTCATCGCCGAAGAATATGGAAATCACGTGATCTTGGAGCCATTCCATCTGAATTTCCAGCACTTCTGGGTTTATGACTACCTTAACATAGTCATCTCCAAAAATTACTGAATTGGAGGCTAGATCCTTGGGGGAAATTCCTTCGTCATAACATTTTGCGATCAAACCCCTAATCCTGTTCCTTTCCTTTTCCGACAAAGTCGGACGAGACGCACCATCGTTCATTGGACTCCAAGGGGTGGACCTCTTGTTGCCTCAAAGAAGAAGAAAAAATATCTAAATACCACTTACTATTAATATTGAATAAGCATCCATAAATAGGCCAAGTTTATACGAAGGTCCCTTTATCCCCTCCCTTCCCAAGTTTCGATGAAATAGGGATATTACCTCCAAAGAAGGCGAGGATTCCACCGGACCTGGCTCCTGTCTTGGATGTCGTTCTTTGTTCCTTCACACTCAATACTTCTGTACCCGAAACACTGTCGCCGAAAGCCCTTCATACTCGGCCACTGTCTTGGCTGTGAGCTCATTTACAGAATTTGGATATATACTGGTTTCCCCTCACCCACTTGTTGGATGTGGGGATGGACACTCTCTGTGATATATCAATCACAGAGGATGTGTCTGCGCTTACAATAGCGCAGTGGCTGGCACAGCCCGGGACGACAAATTACTTAGTCTCCCCTACGTTCGCTGCAAACCTGGAAAAAAGGCAGATGGCCAGCAAGGTTTCCAACAGACCTCACACCAGGGAGTAA